GGGGGATTGAACCGCGGTCCCTGTGCTTTGCTAAGCTTGTTCTAAGTAGGTGCTTTAGACCACTGAGCCATCTCACCAGCCCCTCCCTTTTGTTTTAAGGCAATGGTTTACTGTCTTGTAAATGTATGGCTGGTAAATCTTTGCTGGCTGCACATGGTGGCATATGCCTGTAACCCAGCACTCAGGAGGCCAAGGCAGGATTGCCATGAGTTTGAGGCCATCCTGAGGTAGATTTCAAGGTCAACTTAAATTACATAGTGAGACTGTCTCAGCCAAAAATCAACATAAAAATAAAAAGTCTTTGTTGTTCTTTAGAATTTAAACTCTAAAGGGAGGATTTGAACCCTTCTGGTGAGCTGTGCCTGTTGTGCAGGCAGGGTTCTTAAGTGATGTGGTGTAGATATAGGCTGCTTAGTGGTCTAGGGACAGCTGAGAGCCCTTGGGCCAGGAGTGGCCATTCCTTGCTCTGAGCACTTCATGTGTGCTCAAGTTATCCAAACAAACATGAGAGAGACATGTGCTTACTGTCCGTGGATAAGGAAATGGAGATGAGTACTGGTCCTGAAGTCTTACAGATTATGTCACCTCTGTGATGCCCCTCTGCCATGCCACGCTACTTGGAAGCCAGCTATGGGCTGAAACCTCTATGAATTGTGGGCTGAAACCTTTCTTCCTTTAATAAAAGATAAAATATTTATTAATTTTTTTAATTTTATTATTGTGTGTGTGTGTGTGGCCAGCTCAGCCCACCAGGGGGCAGGGCTGGCTGGCATGTGGTGCTGGGGGATTGAACCGCGGTCCCTGTGCTTTGCTAAGCTTGTTCTAAGTAGGTGCTTTAGACCACTGAGCCATCTCACCAGCCCAAAGATAAAATATTTAAAAAGGGCTGGGGGGATGTAGCTGTTTTAGGTTCTATGCCAATAAAGAAAAAACATGGCTGGGGATACAGCTCAGGGGGATGGTGCCTATCTGGCACGTGCAAGGTCCTGAGTTTCATTCCTGGTTCTAAACAAACGCATAGATTTGGTTGTCTACTTTGGCTTGAGCATAAAGGGAATTCTGAGACTTGTGTGTATGAATATGTCCAGGAATATAGCTCAGTGGCCTAAGTACCTCCCTGGCAAGTGCAAGGTCCTGAGTTTGATCCCCAGTTTAAAAAAAGCCCTAAACAGATATATTATCTTGGTACTGGGGATTTAACTCAGGACCTTTTGCTTGCCAGGCAGGTGCTTAAGCCACTGAGCTACCTCCCTGGCCCTATATTATGGTTTATATCTGGATGTTTCTCCAAAGCCTCATGAGCTCCTTGGCTGTTTTTGAAAGACAATCTGATAATGGGGATTTTAACTGATTACTCTTAGGTAGGGGCTGATCAGAAGCTACAGTCGCTGTGTGATCCAGAAGGATGTATCTCCCTCCTGGGTCCTCTGACTCTCTGCTTTTAGCTGTCCATGCCATCTGGCCTTATAGCTAGCTACCCCTGTAAGGACTGAAGCTACTGAAACATGACCCTAAATAAACCTTTCCTCCTTTGAGGTACAGCTGTCAGACACTGCGTCCCCCTAATGAAAAAGTGACTAAGACAAAAACCTGAAAGGTCCTGAGACACAATATACTGACATTTTAGATATGCTACACAGTTAAGCATGGCAGTAGACACCTGGAATTACAGCACTCAGGAGTATTGCTGAGTACTGCTGAGGCAGGAGTACTGCTGAGGCAGGAGGATTGCTGAGTTGTAGGCCAGGATGGGCTACAATAGAAGTTCAAGGTCAGCCTAGGAGACATAGTGAGTTTAAGGCTACACAGCAACTCTTTCAAAAAACGACATGCTACATCAATCTTGTTCTTAATGAATCTATTTATTTTTTTTAAAAAAGCCAACAAAATAAGAATGAAGTCTTTTTTCTTTTAAGCCCAGTATATATACAAAGCCACCAAGCAAAGAGCAGTAATTCTTTCAAAATTGGCTTTATTCTTCTTTGACCCAACAGATCTTGCCATTTTTTCCAAGCTGTACAGTTCCACTGGCCACAAGCTGAAGGGCTTTAGGAAATATTTTGTGTTCTGCTACTTTTACTTTTTCAGACAAAGTTGCAATGGTGTCATCTCTCTTCACAGGAACAGCTTCTTGTAAAATAATCTGTCCAGCATCTACATCTTCCTGTAAAGGAAGCAAACAATTTAAGCAGTACTTCCTATAGTGCGGTTTCCATCTAAACACTTAATACTTTTAGTAGAAAAAGACATACTCACAGCTACAAAGTGCACAGTACACCCAGTGATTGTGACTCCAGCTTTCAGGACCTGCTCATGAGCATTTGAACCCTTAAAAGAAGGGAGTAGGGATGGGTGGATATTGAGCATTTTCCCTAGAAGTTGAAAATTCATAGTGTGAGCATTTAAGTATTCCACACATTTAGTTAAATGAATATATAATTTCCTGTCTGGACTCAGAAATCAATAGCAGTTAAGGTTACTGACGTGTGTTTTCTGTATTTTTTTTGGGTGTGAAACAGAGAAATGAGATAAAAGGAAATAAAGGTCATGTACAAAGAGGAAGCAGGATCACTGAGTTTGAGGCCAGTTGGAACTACATATCATATCAAAGCCAACCAAACCAAACCAAACCCCAAAAAAAGTCTTGTAGTTTTATTTTTTTAGACAAGGTCTCACTCTGTAGTCTAAACTGGCCTCAAACTCAAAGTGAGCCTCCTGCCTTAGCTTCCCTAGTGCTGGGATTATAGGCATGTGCTGCCATACTCAGCTTTTTTCTTTTTTTGAGACAGGGTTGTGCTGTGTAGTTCAAGATGGCCTTAAACTCACAGTGATCCTCCTATCTCAGCCTTCTGAGTGCTGTGATTACAGACATATGCCTGGCAAAGCCTTGTATCTTTTTGAAAAACAAAAAACACAAAGAGGGCATGACAGCAGTAAATGCTTGCTGTGCAATGCCACAGGCATACTGGGCTGCTTTGAACACACCCCCACAGCAACAGGGAAGTGGAGGCTGTGTCCTCACTAAATGGAAGGGCTCTCATGAAATTCAGCTTGCTGCTGGCACAGTGTGAGAAAGAAGCAACAGGTTCTTGCCTAGCGTCTATGAGCTTGACTTCTCCCTCAGAGTGACCACATGCCAGCCAGATGCTGGATGCACGAGTTCTGTATGCCCATGTGGCTGAGAACAGCACAAGAGCTTTTATCATATTCACCCCAGAAGACATAAATTCTGGAGCGAAAGCACATTTATTCTTAAAATGTGTACACAAAAGAGGAAAACAGGATACAGCCAAAGCTGGGGCAAAAAAGGCAAGGACACAAGACAGTATGTGTATTGTGGCAACAATAATTTCCTTGCCATCTTTGGGCAATGGTTTATGTTTTCTAAAAGTAATTTCATTTTTTGATAGGTCACTTTCTTTTGCTTCTAAATAAGTGAAAGTGTCCTCTGAATACTTACTACAAAAACAGCATTGCAGTAATGTGAAATGAAAGTAAGCTATATTATAAAAATTAATTAGTAAGTCATTTAAAACTGAAAGGCTAGGAAATCATCACTGGGCCATTCTTTGGACTGAAGTGTAGGAAATGAAATTATAACATGTGTTAAAGTCAGTGTCTCAAAGGGCTGGTCAGATAGCTCATTGGATTAAAGCTGCCTGCTTAAGCAGGCAGGTTCAATCCCTGGCATGCCAAACCCCGCCCTGGCACCAGGCGTGGTGGCATGCTTGTAATTTCAGCACTTGGGTGGCTGAAAACAGGAGGATCACTATGAGCCCCATTTGTGTAGTGAGACCTTGTAGATCCTGAATTAAATACATTAAAAAAATAAAATAATAAAGTCAATGTCGCAGTAAATAGTTCACTGCTGGGATTTTTTTTTCTTTTGCAAGTCGACTACTCTGGAGTCCCTTTTCAGCTGATTTCCTGTTGTAATGTGAAATAATTTGCTTACCATCCCATTTTCTAACAAAAGGGCCAGACAGAATTCTCATGAATCCTGCAAGACAGACTATGTCTATAGAGAACTCTTCAAGAACTTGGTCAATGGCATTATCAAATTCCTCACGATTTTTATATAATTTGTGATTAATTACCTGTAATAGAAAAAGAAAAACACAACCTTTTCAATTAATTAATAAACAATTGAAAAAATAACCTTTACACAGCCCATACATACTTCATTTCCTTACAAAGATGCATGTGCTCACAAGAGGAGAGACCTTATGGAGGAAGGGACATGATGACAAAAAGGTGAGCCCAGCTCCCACCCAATACAGGAGACATGTCCCTCCCACACCTTGGGTCCTTGGAGCTTGGTGGGCGGGAGCTCAGTGGTAGAATAGGCACTTAGCATATGTGATGCCTTCTGTTAGATTCCTGGCACCAAAAGAGTGCCTAAAACAGAACAGCCTACAGGAAAGCACCTGTCCCAAGTAACTTACCCTGGTGGGAATACCAGCTCTTTCAGCTTTGTTTAATCCAGCCACTGCGGCTTTGTTGGAAAGAACAACAACTATGTGAGCAGAGCTGTTTGGATCCTTAGTGCTGTCTATAAGTGCTTGGAGGTTCGATCCTGAAAAGCCGGGTGGGAAAAAACTGAGTGAGCTAATGCTTTCTTTTGATGAGCTAATGCTTCTTAAAAGAGGCATGTGTCACACTGAATAAGGAATGGGTTAAGCATTGGAAAAAATATCTTGGAAAAAGCTGTTAACATGTGTTAGGCTCTTAAGTCTCTTTCTCTTGGGTAGTGCTTTGATGAAAAACTGGCATTCTTGGTTAGGCTATGTAACTGTTCCTGTGAAATACCATCAAATGATGCAGCAGCACTACAGGAGAAACAACATAACATGGTTTTAAATCTATGAGTAATAAGCTGCTTAATTATGTAAGAAAATTAACCTCATCAAGAAGAATGTATCACTGTGGACCTTACCACAGTATTTTTTTCTTTACTATTTACTTTGACCTAAAATATCATGACATCTTAAAACTGCCCTGTAAAGCAATTACACCTTTCAGATTATAACCTAAAGAAATAATCAGATATCCACTTAACAACATATTGTACATTTGCAATGTTTATAGCAATGTTATGCATAATAGTCATGCTATAATCATCTGAAAACAAATTTTTATTTATTAAACCTACAAAAGTTAAATATAAAATTCATACTCTTAAAAATACTAAGTAATCCCAACAGTCTTAGACTATAAAACTACCAAGCTACAATAGAAAAGGTAGAATTTCTATCTTTCCTAGCTTGTGGTTTTCTTTTCTTTTTTTTTGTGGCTGGCTCAGCTTGCTCTGGGGGCAGGGCTGGCACGGCATATGGTGCCAGGGATTAAGGCTGGGTCCCTAACTTTGCCTAAGCACGCGCTTTAGACTGCTGAGCTACCTTGCTGGCCCCTAGCTTGTCTTTTTAACCATCTTTCTCACACCTTTTTTGTCAGGAAAAGTGGAACAACTAAGAATGAGGAAAAGGTCCCAGCCCCCCAATGACCCCCACTTTTATCCTGGACTGCTGACAGCACCCTTCCATCTGTCCTCTGGGTGTGTGTGTGGGGGGAAGGCAAAGAGGAAGGGAAGTACACTAGCTCCACTGAGAGCATGCCTCACCTGTTCCAGATATCAAGACAGCCACTCTTGCCTTTTTAGGTTGGGCAGGGAAATGAGTTTTCAGGGAGCCATTCATGAATACCAACCCATTTATCTGCAAGGTTTCCATGAGATTCTTGACTTTCACACGTGGGGAACCTTCATTTCAAATATACCCATAAACAAGTAGAGGACAAATGTAAATTACGGAGATAATAGGGAATAAATATATTTTATGCAAACTTTAGGATACTGTATTTTACACTAAAAAAAAAAAAAAAAAAAAAAAAAAAAGACATACAAGAAACTAAAACAAATTTGTATCACTTAACATACATTTATACATAAACTTCCTAGCTAGGCACGGTGGCACTGAACACCCAGGAGACTGAGGCAGGAGGACTGTTGCAAGGTCAAGGCCAGCGTGGACTACACAATGAGTTCAAGACCAGCCTGAACTACATAGCAAGACCCTGAGTTTTTGGTACCAGGGATCAAATTTAGTACCTTACGCTTGCCAGGCAGGCACATAAGCCACTGATCTATCTCCCCAGCCCAAGACCCTGTCTCAAAAATTAAAAACCAAGCCAAACCAAACCAAAATAAAACAACTACAAGATAACACCCCTCCCAACAAACAACGAACAAAATCTCCTGAAGGATGTATTGTGGATATGATCCTTTCTGCCAGTGTGTCCCTTCAGGAGAGCGCCATGGCCTTCTGACCTCAGAAGTAACACAGCAAGACCATTTAAAGGTCTGCTATGAGCTGTAAGAAGTCCTCTTACTGCAGTGGGAGCTGCAGGAGTTCTTTGCAGCAGCTGGATAACCTGCCTGAGAATGAAAATTAACACCGTGATGGTAGAAAGGCTGACAGAAATAAGGCCAACAGGCTCTGCCAAGTGCTATTCTGTTCAGCACAGGCGCAGCTGATACAGTACTCCTAAGGATCCTCATTCCCGTCCCGGAGTTGAGCTGAACAACAAAGTAGAGCCACAGAGTCTTTTTTTAAAAGAAATTATGTATGTATGTATGTATGTATGTATGTACGTACGTACGTACGTATTTGGTACGGGGTCTCACTATGCAGCTGGGACTTGTAGTGATCCTGTCTCAGCCTGCTCAGTGCTGGTGTGAGCATGGTTTTGGTGGACTGCTCGGCGTGGGGCTGGCACATGTGGCATCAGGGACTGAGCCCAGGTCCTTGCACTTGTCAGGCAGGCATTTAGACCTCTGAGCTATCTCCCTGGCCCCGAGCTACAAGGTCTTCATGTAGGGAGCTTATTTTGGAAAGAGGCACTGTAGAGTGCAGCTGTGCACATGTGAAAATGACAGAAGTGCCAGAGTCCAGAGCCAGAAATCAAGGCATGCAGTCACTAGGGTGGGCTTGCCATGTCCCACTTGGGTAAAGAAATAAAGATGTAGAGAGCTTGGAAGGCAGAACTCAGTGCTATTTTGTGTGAAGCCATTAACTGGTATCCATTTCTATTTCCCTGCTGAGTTAAGTTTATGGTCCTTCTCACCTTGCCCATTCCCCGTGAATCACGTGCTATGCCCCAGGGGTTGCACCTTCCCCCATTGTCTAGATACCTGCTGACCCCAAGAGCTGAGACTTCCTCATTCCTACACTCCCTATATATATACCCAGCACATCCCCTGAATAAACTGGGACTTGATCAGAATCCTGTCTTGTCCTCATTTTTCGAGTCTCCTGTCCTTTGTCCCCTCTTCAATTCCCCACTCCTCCCCCAGGTGACCTTCGTTGACTGACCTGCTGGTTCGGGACACTATTTAAGATTGTAAGCCTAAAAGCAAACAAGGAGTGATTACCTTCAGGGCACGCAACCACACTGCCAATCATCCAGGCCTCCTCCTGGTGCTGTTGAATATCTCTTTGAATTTGCTCTGCTTGATCTTTTGAAACCACGAGAGCAGCTCCAACTCCACAGTTAAATGTTCTGGCCATCTCTTCTTCAGAGAGCTGCCCTTCCTGCTGTAGCCATGAGAAGATTCTAGGAATCTTCCAGGTGCGGGCATCTGGGAACAAGTATGAGATGACTGATTAGGCTAGGTCTCACACCAAGAATAAAAGAATGCAAACATTCAAAGATACAGAAGTAAACAAACAACCACCACAAAAAAAAAAAAAAAAAAAAAAAAAAAAAGATGCAGAAGCTGGACTTGCAAGTTTTTTTTAAAAATACATGTGGCTCATCAGACATTAACATCTTAGCTGGACATGTTGGCATAGTCCTGTAATCCCAGCACTAAGGAGGATGAGGTAGATTACTTTAAGGCCAGCTAGGGTTATGCAGTGAGTTCAAGGCCAGCCTGAACTACAGTAAGACCCCGTCTCAAATAAATCACTTTTTTGTTTAGTTGGCCAAATGAAACTTTGTGCTACACAAAATCTCTAGCTCTTTACACAAAATCCCTCACTGATTAAAAGAGCTAGGAGCTAGATTCCAACAGAGGCTGATACCTCTGTTTTATGAGCGCTTAGCCAGGTCTTAGCCATGACTGAAACACAAATTTATATATTAACAGATGTTAATGACACATGATGTGACCCACCAAACAGACTGCCACTGTGTTACAGGATAAGAGCCTAGTTTCTGTAAATGAACAAGTACTTAGTAGAAATAGTATTCCAAAATAGAAAAAATTCCTGAACTTTTCTGGTCATAAGCATTTTGGATAAGGGTTATTCAAGCTCTATGAGTGTACTATAACATGACCAGTGTTATTTTTAACCAATGGTATGCCAGCCACAGCTTCGTACAGGCTGCTAAAACAGTTTTTAGGTTGGCTACAGTTTCGTTTTTTTTTTTTTTTTTTTTTTGCGGTACCAGGGATTGAACTCAGGACTTTGTGCTTGCCTGGGAAGTGCTTATTCTACTGAGCCATCTCCCTGGCCTGGCTACAGTTTGTTTATACCACAGAAACTGGTAACCAAGTAGATTTTACTTTCTTTTCCAATCCATTGACATGGCAGTTTTTAACTATTTGAAGAATCCAATCAAGGAAATGCTCCTTAAGATTTTTGTTTTATTTTTGTATTTAGTACAAGGTCTACAGGGTCTATAGGGTCTCACTAGTACACTGGACTTGTAGTGATCCTCCTGTTTCCGCCTCCCCAGCGCTGGGATTACAGATACAACGTGCCCAGTCTCAATCACTTCTCAGCGCACCCCAGGGGCAGGGCCAGCATGGCACACCAGGGATTGAACCCCAGCCACTGTGCTCTGCCAAAGCTGGCGCTTTAGTCTGCTGAGCTATCAGGCCGGCCCTGATTTTTGTTTTCTTAAATTACGTTTTTTTTTTTTTTTTCCTGAGACACAGTCTTGCTATCTAGGTCAGGCTTGTCTTGAACTCCCACTAATTGTCCTGCCTCAGCCTCTGGAGGGCTAGGATTACAGGCATGTGCCACTATACCTGGCTTAGGTTTTAAACCACAAATCATTCCTTACTATGCTCATGGCATGGATCTGGAATGGATTTAATCAAGTGGTCTGTTTTACTTACCTGCTATGGTCTGAATTGTGAAGGTCCTGCAAAGGTAGACAGATAGAGACAGACAGATATAGTATAGGGTCTTGCTAGCCAGCTCAGACTCAAGTGATCTTCCTGTCTCAGCTTCCCTAGTGCTGGAATTATAGGCATGTGCCACCATGACAGGTTCTGGGGCTGGCATGGTATGAGGTACTGGAAATTGAACCTGGGTCTTTGCACTTGCCAGGCAGGCACTTAAGACTGCCACCATACATTAAAGGCTGGGTCCCCTGCCTGTGGTAGTACTGAAACATGGTGGGGTCTTTAGGTGGAGCCTAATTTGAGGCTTTAGGTCTCTGTAGGTCTGCAGGACTCTGGCTTCTTATTCTCTTTCACTGGCCCTAGTTGTGACTTTCTCTGCTACATTTTCTTGCAATATGTGTTGCTTAGCCACAGGTACAAAGGCAATTAGCCCAAGTGTCTGCAGACTGAAACCTCCCAAACTGCAGTAAAATAAACATTCCTACTTTTAAGTTAGTAATTTTGGTTATTGTTATCGTAAGTAATAGAAAGTTAACATACCTGTATAGCTGGAAATCCTATTTGCACACTGTGCTTATTTCCTAATTTCCACACAACCTATTTCTGACTCCGGATTCTTTCCAGTTCCGTATCCTTGGATTCTAGGCTTAGTCCATCAGATGTAGTCATCCTTTTCCAGGACTGCTTCCCATTGGTCAATAGATGCCCACACACCCTCTTAGCCCAACTGGATCAACCCTGTCAATCTATTTCCCTTGCTTTTGCTTCTATAACGTACATGGTCCTTAAGAGAAAAATGACACAACCTCCTTCGGCTTCCCCTGTACTTTCAGCACTGCTTGCTATCTCCCTGGCTGTAACCTTAATTCCTTTATTATTTATTATTAGTGTTACTGAACTTGTTTCTTCCACTTATTATTATTTTTGGCTGAACCGGGGATTGAACTCAGGCCCTTGTGCTTGCCAGGCAAGTGTTTATTCTGAGCCAGCTCCCCGGCCCCACTTCTTAATCTTTTATTAGTATGTTTATAATGAATACATTCACTGCAGAGTTGGTGCATGTACATATTACATCTTAATCCTTTTGACTTCCCCAGTAATTTTTAATCCTTCAAACCAGTACTTATCAGTTTATTATGACAGCTGGGTCAGTTTCTTTGATTTTGCCTCTTCATCCTATAAAAAGTGAGGGAACTCCTGTTTTGGGATATGAGTAATGATTCTCTTCTCTTTTCACTAGTAAGTTTCTTGAAACAGGAATCTTCACCACTGTCTCCATAGCTTTGTTACCCAACCTGGTGGACAATTCTGGTTCTATAGCCACCATGCTGCCACTGAACTGAACTCTGAAATATATTAGCCTGTCTGCTGCCCATCCCAGATTTGCGCTGCACCTGAATGACCAGCATCAGGTTGAAATGGCTCTCTGGGTTTGATGAGGATACTTTTATACAGCTTGCACTCCTTCTCCTTGTTCCTCAGTAATTTTCCTCAAGGAACAACAGGTTGGGCTGTTCCACTCCTTCCCTATAACTATTACTACACACAGCTAGCTTATCTTCAGCCTGACCGCTCACATATGCATTGGAATAAATATATCCTCACATCCTGCTCCACTGCTCTTCTTGTGTTAAAGCTCTGCCATCTGCTCAGCTACCTGAGTGGGAACCTGGGACTTCTTTTTGTTTTTTGAGACAGGGTCTTGCTGTGCAGTTCAGGCTGACCCAGCCTGGTCTTGAACTCACATTGATCCTCCTGCCTCAGCCTCCCAAGTTTTGGGAGTACAGGTGTGTACCATCATGCCCGGCCTTTTTTCTTCTAAGGATGGAATAATTTCCAAATGTTGTTTCCCTGTTCTATGCACTGTTTTAGGACCTTTTACTTCCAATATGGACAACTTATTAGCAACCATTTCTCTTTCTCTTTTATTCTTTTTCTGTATTTAGGACAGGGTCTACAAGGTCTCACTATATAGATCAGACTTGTAGTGATTCTCCTGTTTTCAGCTTCCCAAGTGCTGAGATTACAGGTGTGACACCACGCCCAGTTTCCATTTCTTTCTTTTTTTTT